AGGGGAAGGGGGGAAGGTATAATACATTAATATTTCCTATAACATAAAGGTAAAGGTAAAGGGAGCCCTGACCATTAGGTCCAGTGATGACTGACTCTGGGTTTGCGGCGCTCACCTCACTTTATTGGCCAAGGGAGCTGGCGTACAGCTTCCGGGTCATGTGGCCAGCATGACTAAGCCACTTCTGGCGAACCAGAGCAGCACACGGAAACGCCGTTTACCTTCCCGCCAGAGCGGTACCTGTTTATCTACTTGCACTTTGACGTGCTTTCAAACTGCTAGGTTGGCAGGAGCAGGGACTGAGCAAAGGGAGCTCACCCCGTTGCGGGGATTCGAACCGCCGACCGTCTGATCGGCAAGTCCTAGGCTCTGTGGTTTAACCCACAGCGCCACCCGCGTCCCTTATTTCCTATAACATAACATCCATTAAAAAAGCTTTGTGACTTCTATGTTATTTACTGCTTGCTGTTTACATTGTAATATCAGTTTTAAAACAATAATACTTAGCATCTGTTAACACTTTGAACACTCTAAGGAGCTTCACATGCACTGTCTTTCTGCAATTTTACAACCACCTTGTGAGGTAAGCCAGCATTACTGCCCTCATACAGAGGTTCAGAGGATGACAACATGAGAACCTTTAAAGCCCTAAATGGCTTTGGTCCTGTATATCTGATGGAGCATTTCCACCCTCATCATTCAGCCCAGATACCGAGGTCCAACTCTGAGGGCCTTCTGGCAGTTCCCTCATTGCAAGAAGTGAGGTTACAGGGAAACAGGCAGAGGGGCTTCTCAGTAATGGCACCTGCCCTGTGAAACGGCCTCCTGTCAGATGTCAAAGAGATAAATAATTATATGACCTTCTGTAAACATCTGAAGTCAGTCCTGTATCGGGAAGCTTTTAATGTGTTATGTTCCGTTGTGTTTTTGTATATTCTGTTGGAAGATGCCCAGAGTGGCTGGGGCAATCGAGTTAGATAGGTGGGAGTACAAAAATCATCATCATCATCATTATTATTATTATTATTACTATTATTTCTCTGCTTGTGGATCCTTCCCCCAAGAGGCTTGCCTAGTACCACCATTATATATCTTTAGGTCCCAGACAGAAATATTCCTCTTCTCCCTGTAAAGGTAAAGCTACCCTTGACCATTAGGTCCAGTCGTGTCCGACTCTGGGGTTGCAGCGCTCATCTCGCTTTATTGGCCAAGGGAGCCGGCGTACAGCATGACAAAGCCGCTACTGGTGAACTAGAGCAGTGCACGGAAATGCCCTTTACCTTCCCACCGGAGCGGTACCTATTTATCTACTTGAACTTTTGACGTGCTTTCGAACTGCTAGGTTGGCAGGAGCAGGGACCGAGCAATGGGAGCTCACCCCTCGCGGGGATTCGAACCGCTGACCTTCTGATCGGCAAGTCCTAGGCTCTGTGGTTTAACCCACAGCACCACCCGCGTCCCTTCTTCTCCCTGACCTTTGGCTAATTAAACAATATAATTAAACTGTAGCAGCGGAATTATTGTTTTGTTTGTTACTATGTTGTGCATTTTCGTATATACTATAAGCTGCCCTGTGATCCTCAGATGAAGGGCAGTACAGAAATTTAATAAATAATGTCAATGAAGATTTTGGGCTGGTTTTTTGTTTTTGTTTTTTTTTTTAAAGGGACTTGCTTATTTTTGACAAAGTAAGGAGCAGGTCAGACTAAACCATAAATTTACAAGTGAAATGAAAGCCACAAGACTCATTCAAAATCTTGAAAGTGAAGCATGGAGCAAAAAATACTGGAACGCAGCACAGAAATAATTGCAGAAAGCAATTCCAAATAACTGCAACTCCCAATACTTTTGGTCTGCTGGCAGAACAATACCCAGATCTCTTAAAAAGGTTTAAAATAAGGGTTAGGCCAGTGTCCAAAGAGTTGCTTAGGCTCACGCAGGGGACTTGTGCTAGTAGGGTGGAATGTTTTATCGTTCTCTTCCCTCTGAACAGCTGAACGCTCTTCCCCCACCTCGATGCCATATCACAAAGTGCTTTTGAAACTCCCTTCAGATTTCAAAAACAGTTTGCCATGTGGAATGGAGGAGCAGATGAGTATAATGAAAAGCAAGTCTACGGCTCCCTTGGGCTTAACGAACTGGTTCCAAGACTCTTTGGATCCTGGGTAATAACATTATTTAAAATAATAATAATACAATTGTCTAGATTTATAATCTGACCACCGAAGGAAGAGAGTGATGAGATTTCAGTCCAAATAACAAATAAAACCTCACTGATATATGAAGTATTTTTTAACTCTTCCATTAGAGAAGCAAATCAGACTACGGACCAAGAATGAAGTTTTATTATAGGGGCTGGAAGGTAAGATTAATACATTTTATCTTAAGGTGTTATGAACAGTGGATCTAATTTTGAAATCACAGGGAAGCTTCAGCGCAGCTCCCTCGTGCCATCCAGTAACACCTAAAATTCGCATCTGGTTTGGTCCGTTCAGGTTGGCTATAAAACAGATACTGAATGACATGCTTGGAGGTGACATAACCTATATAGAAACCTTGTCCAAAATGGCACTTGAGAAGAAATAATAAGGTCACTTGTGACCCATGTTGCAGGAAGGACTTCTCCAATCTCATTTAGCCAGCCATATATCTGCTGCTGAGTGATTAACATACAAATTCACCTATATGACATGATGCAAGAGATAAGGGATGTGAAACCAGGAACAGGGGTGGAGAGAGAAGGTTCCCCAAAGAAAACTGAAATGTATTAAGTCAATGAAGGAATAATCCGTCAACACATCTGTTAAGAGAATTGCTGCTGAAAAACTGATTCTTCATATCAGTTGTGAACACCCCGTAAGGCATGATCACTACCTTCCACATGAAGTGGTTCAGTAGGAATCGTCACTAGGAACCCAATATGCCATTGTGTTAACTTTGGGGCAGCACATGAGTTATGAAGTTATGAGTTATGGTGTTATGAGTTATGAAGGCTGCTCTACATCACCCCATGGTTCTAGTTACAGGTAGGTAGCCGTGTTGGTCTGCCGTAGTCGAAACAAAATAAAAAAATTCCTTCCAGTAGTACCTTAGAGACCAACTAAGTTTGTTATTGGTATGAGCTTTCGTGTGCATGCACACTTCTTCAGATACACACAAGAGGCATGTACATGAAAGCTCATACCAATAACAAACTTAGTTGATCTCTAAGGTGCTACTGGAAGGAATTTTTTTATTTTGTTTCGACTAAATCACTCCAGTTCAACATGTGGCCAGGGCAATTTTCTCCATGCCACCACAAAGGAAGGCCAGCAGTTTATCATAAGTTCATGGAACCTGGTCAAGAGCCCTAGGCATATCAGAAGCTGTTTTGAACTTCCCAAAGAAGAAGATTTGGATTTGATATCCCGCCTTTCACTCCCTTTAAGAAGTCTCAAAGTGGCTAACATTCTCCTTTCCCTTCCTCCTCCACAACAAACACTCTGTGAGGTGAGTGGGGCTGAGACACTTCAAAGAAGTGTGACTGGCCCAAGGTCACCCAGCAGCTGCATGTGGAGGAGCGGAGACGCGAACCCAGTTCCCCAGATTACGAGACTACCGCTCTTAACCACTACACCACACTGGCTCTCACAGTGGCAGCACAAGGAGGTAGCAAGAAGGAGGTTCTCAAGAAGTGGCAACACAGGAGGTCCAATTGATGAGTGATCGCCGATGTGTGGGTCCTTTATATGATGGCCAATGTTTCCAAAGAGCCCTTCTCATCAGCATGGCAAAGACTGTCCAGCATTCAGTGGGACTGGACATTCTGCTTTGAAGAGCAATAACTAAATCTGTATTGCAAACTACTTTACGCGTTCTCAGGTGTCAAGAACTATGAAAAAGACTAGTGGAGACAATAGGTGTACTGCTCCTTTAATCTGTTTGCTATGTAACACACACACACACAAAAAAACCTTAATATAACTTATTTTGACAAAAAGCACCACAATTAGCAGACAGAACACTGCTAAGATGTAAAAGAAGTCAAAAACCAGCAGGGTATAGTACTCTGTACTGGCTCTATAGCTATGAGGTCTATAAACCTGAAAAGAAAAAGCAGGAGGCTGATCTAAAGGCAAAACCATCTTACTCTGAAAAGATGCAAGACGTAATTCAGGTCGAAATTGAGTTAGGGCTTGTTTATAATGGAGATGCAACAGTCTTTTGCATCTTAGTTTACTCCTGCAAGACACAGTCTTGAACACTAAGAGGACAGATGGTAAGTTTTCCTGCAAAACCACTACTGTTTAGATACTTAGGAAGAACCATATGTTTGCTTTTGTAGTAAAGAAATGTGTGGGAAGGACTTCGTTCCACAAAAATCTACCGAACAGCTGATGAATGCACATAAGCCATAAAAAGCCCTGTTTGCAATGAGAGGAAACGGATATGGCTACAAACCGCTACCGATGAGAGACAAACAACAGATACCTTGTTAAAAGGAAGACACAGATCATTCCCCAACTGCACATGGCAGCAAAGGTCATAATTAGGGAGGAATCCCACTATTTATTGATTCCAGGCTGAAGAGTAGATGTATGACTCTTTCATTGCTCTCTAAAGTCTAGCTACTTTTTTGTATCCTAAAAGCTCAGCTTGGCATTACTGCAACCTTGTCCTACTCAGTCAGGAAAGGTAAAGCTAGCCAGCATATGCCTCCCACACTGGAGGAATAACACAACCATCATGGTTTGTAGCCATGAATAGCCTTATCCTCTGTGAATTTGTCTAATACTCATCTAAAGCGATCCAAGTTGGTGTTGTTATTACATCTTAGAGCAGCCTTTCTCAACCTGTGGGTCCCCAGATGTTGTTGGACTACAACTCCCATCATCCCTAGCTAGCAAGGCCAGAGCTCAGGGATGATGGGAGTTGTAGTCCAACAACATCTGGGGACCCACAGGTTGAGAAAGGCTGTCTTAGAGTCATAGAAGGGTCCTTGGGGATCATCTATAGGTCGCTGTCCCATGCAGGGATCGAAGCTGTGACCTTGGTATTATCAGCACCATGCTCTAACCAACTGAGCTACCCAGTGGAGTGAATTCCATAGCTGAATATGTGCTCCATGAAGAAGTACAGTGGTACCTTGGTTCTCAAACTTAATCCGTTCTGGAAATCCGTTCCAAAACCAAAGCGTTCCAAAACCAAGGCGCGCTTTCCCATAGAAAGTAATGCAAAACGAATTAATTTATTCCAGACTTTTAAAAACAACCCCTAAAACAGCCATTTAACATGAATTTTACTATCTAAAGAGACCATTGATCCATAAAATGAAACCAATAATCAATGTACTGTACTATAAAATAAATAAGACAGTATTGCAGATGATAAAAATAAAAAGTTTTTTTCTTCTTCCCTGCACTGATGATAGTCATTGTTTGGATGGGGGGCTTTTATCTGTTTCCGCAGTCACACAATCAATCAATCAATCAGTAGCTGAACTGGGTTCCACACAGTCACAAAAACAAATTAACCGAAAAAAGCCTCACAAACAAAAAAGCAAAAGCGCCAAACTTAATCCGTTCCAGAAGGCCGCTTGACTTCTAAAATGTACAAAAACCAAGGTGCAGCTTCTGATTTTGTGCAGGCGTCCCAGAAACAATAGCCAACAGCTGAATCGGACGTTTGGCTAGCAAAAATTGTTTGAAAACTGGAACACTTACTTCCCAGATTTCAGAGTTTGAGAACCAAGGCATTTGAGAACAAAGGTACCACTGTACTTCCTTTTATCTGCTCTTGATCTTCCAATATTCAGCTCCAGTATTATAGGAAAGAGAGAAAAACTTGCCACAAAAGGTTATAGAGAGGGAAACAAAGGTCTTGCCCTTGTTTGTTCCTCTATAAATCCTTTGTGGCAAGTTGCCAAAGCCATTCTCATTCAAGAAATCAGTGTGCTCTTGTGCTTTACTTGGATGGCTTAATCATATTTCCATAACTATAGTTAAGTGACTTAAAATGGCATCACCAACGAAGGGAGCGGTGGAAGTTTTGAAAAGAGGATAGAGGTGAAATGTTCAAGATCTCAAGCCTTCCTGGAAGTCATGACCTCAGCCTTGGAAACCTGTGCTCTAACCTCAAATGCAAGAAATCTGACTGTTCTTTCTCAGAGACACTCCCAAACATCAAAAGGAGTCTCTACAGTTCAGCTCTGGTGAGCACCAGCACAGACCTAGTCCTGTAGAAAGGCTCCAATACAGCAAACCACAATTTTGCACCGAGTAATGCTTGCATCAACAAGTGAAACATTGGTCTCATTCTGCTCTGAAGTGTTTTTATTCCAGATAATGCAACTAAAAGCAAGCAACATTACTCGGAGCTATAAAAACGAAGGAATGAATAGAAAGTAACTTAGCTTTATGATTCCTTTTGTATTTTCGTTTTTTGAGTGGCATGACTTAAGAGATCATAAATCATAGCATGGGATCCGTGTTCCTAAGTTGTTTATAAAGGCAGCTGATTTTTCGTGGTACCAGATCACAGAAACACATGTTCTTCAGGGGGGGAAATCTATTATTTAAATTGAAAAATACTGGGCGATTTTCCCATGAGGTAGTCCTTGCACAGGAAGGTCATTTATAAAGCCTTTCAACGTTTACATCATATGGTGCTGCATCAAAAATGCTTTTTGAGCTGCGCAAGGGGAATGTTTTATCATGCCGACAAGTCTGTCTTTGCAAATAATAAGTCATCGCAGTAAATCTGCACGCACGGCCTGTCATTTTGGGCTGCAATCCTGCAGATCAATCGGAGATGTGCACAACACACTGCCAGTTTGAAACAATCTCATAGCTCAGATATATGCCAGTAATGGGAAACACTGGATTTTATACTCGCCTGTGGAAATGCCCTGCTGTGGGAACGCATGTTGAATTCGTGTGTTTTATAATGCTATTGCAAGTAATAATAATAATAATAATAATAATAATAATAATAATTTATTATTTGTACCCCGCCCATCTGGCTGGGTTTCCCCAGCCACTCTGGGCGGCTTCCACCATCCCAAAAATACACCAAGATGTCACACATTAAAAACATCCCTGAACAGGGCTGCCTTAAGATGTCTTCTGAATGTCAGGTAGTTGTTTATCTCTTTGACATCTGATGGAAGGGTGTTCCACAGGGCGGGTGCCACTACCGAGAAGGCCCTCTGTAGCTTTGCTTCTCGCAATGAAGGAACCGCCAGAAGGCCCTCGGCGCTGGGCCTCAGTGTCTGAGCAGAACGATGGAGGTGGAGACGCTCCTTCAGGTATACTGGGCCAAGGCCGTTTAGGGCTTTAAAGGTCAACACCAACACTCTGAATTGTGCTCGGAAACATACTGGGAGCCAATGTAGGTCTTTCAAGACCGGTGTTATGTGGTCTCGTCGGCCGCCCCCAGTCACCAGTCTAGCTGCCGCATTCTGGATTAATTGCAGTTTCTGGGTCACCTTCAAAGGTAGCCCCACGTAGAGTGCATTGCAGTAGTCCAAGCAGGTGATAACTAGAGCATGCACCACTCTGGTGAGACAGTCCGTGGGCAGGTAGGGTCTCAGCCTGCGTACCAGATGGAGCTGGTAGACAGCTGCCCTGGACACAGAATTGACCTGCGCCTCCATGGACAGCTGTGAGTTTGCGACTGCAAGTGAGGAAAGCAGTTCTAGGGTTGGCACTTCAAAAAATAGCCTTTCATATGACAGCAGCCACCCTAGCAACCTCACAGCTGGGCACCGAGAACTAGATAGACAGTGCAAACTCACTTATCTGAATGAAGCAAAATCACATAGTTAATAGTACTTAGGGCTGAACAATATGTTGGTAACACATGCAATAAATATGTATCAGGAGCCACAATGGGGTGGGAAGCAACGCAGATGGAGATACAGTAGAAAACTAGGGACCCCATTTCTTAGTTTCAAATCTTCTCCTCCTGAAGAGGCACATTTCCATCATGCAAATTTGTGGCAATGTGGAGCTCTGCTCTGTGTAGCTCAGGCTGAAGTTCTCAGCATGTTGCCTGCAAAGATCAGACCCACAGCATGGACAGATCATTTAGACGTGCCATGCTGACCGGGGCTGATGGAAGTCAGTGTTCAGGAACATCTGGAGGACCACAAGTTCCCCATCTCCATGCTAGATAAAAGCTATGCAGATAGGCCTACAAAGATGCTAAGAATTGCTGGTCCTGAAAGTTGTGCTATAGAGTGGTACCTCAGGTTAAGAACTTAATTCGTTCTGGAGGTCCGTTCTTAACCTGAAACTGTTCTTAAACTGAAGCACCACTTTAGCTAATGGGGTCTCCCGCTGCCGCCGCGCCGCAGCTGCACGATTTCTATTCTCATCCTGAAGCAAAGTTCTTAACCCGAGGTAATATTTCTGGGTTAGCGGAATCTGTAACCTGAAGCGTCTGTAACCTGAAGCGTCTGTAACCTGAGGTACCACTGTATTGCGCATGGAACTTGCAGGGTAGGGCTGGGGGATATATCAATATATCATCCAAAACCAGTTTGAAGGTAAAGTGACCCCTAACCATTAGGTCCAGCCGCGGACAACTCTGGGGTTGCGGAGCTCATCTTGCTTTATTGGCCGAGGGAGCCAGTGTACAGCTTCTGGGTCATGCGGCCAGCATGACTAAGCCGCTTCTGGTGAACCAGAGCAGTGCATGGAAACGTCGTTTACCTTCCTGCCGGAGCGGTACCTATTTATCTACTTGCACTTTGACGTGCTTTCGAACTGCTAGGTTGGCAAGAACCGAGACTGAGCAACGGGAGCTCACCCCGTCGCGGGGATTCGAACCGCTGACCTTCTGATCGGCAAGCCCTAGGGCTCTGTGGTTTAGACCACAGTGCCACCCGTGTCCCTAGTTTCAAGTTTATATCATGATAAATTGACAAATTAAATAAATTAGGATGTTACTAGCCCAAAGATGAAAAAGGGAAGAAATACCAACTAAAGAAGAATGGCTACAAAAATTGATGGAATTCGCCGAAATGGTGAAGCTAACAGAAAGACTCAGAGGCAAAGACAACAGAGAATTCAAAAAAGATTGGGAACCGTTTATGTTGTATATACAGAAACAATATAAGGAAATGGACTCACTAGCAGGGATTGAATGAGCATCTACAATTAACAAATTAGAATAAATATAAAATGTATAAAATCAATGTAAAAAATGATAAATGATAACAAATAATATAATAAATACGTATAATGGAATAGAAAATAAGCAAGGGAAAACAGTGTATAAACAAACCAGAAAAGGAAGTTGAAGGAAGTGGGGGGGGCAGGAATTGGTGGGAGATTTTTTTACATGCTATTGAGGTGTGGATTTTATGTAAAAAAATGGAAAACTCAATAAAAAAATTACAAAAAACAAGATTATATCATGATATCGGTTTTATAGTTTTTGACCTGGAAATATATTGTGAATCGCGGTGTGTGTGGGCTATGCAAAAATCACAATGTGGGAAAAACCATGAAGCCAGTCAACATAGCTCCATCCTTATTTCAGACATTGTGATATATCAGTATATTGCGATGTTTAGCTGGTGATATATCACGAAGTTGAAAGCCAGTTATCACCCAGCCCTATAGCAGGGCATTCTTTACATAACCAAATTCCTTTCTAAGAGAGCACAATGGGAGCCTGTAGTATTGCTTGTCAAGGCATGCAATCATTTTCTTTATAGTCAAAAGAGTTAAGCATGTATTATTATGGGAGTTCGGCCACAAGTGCTGGTCTCAAAGCAGCATCAGTCCTGTCCTCCCAAATTCAGATCATCACTTTGCTAAACTATGGCTGTCATATGCATATAGTTTTTATCAGGCAAAACTGGCTTCAACTGTTACCCTATGAGATGGACGTAATTCACATCCTAGAGATACCTGCCATAGCAATCTCTTCAGTCATGCCCATTGCTCCTTATGAACAACCAGGTAATATATAAAAAGTCTGAAGGGAAAGCCACTTTGTCCTTCTGTGCTTTATGGGGAATATCTGTGGTTCTAGAACCAGAGAGACCGTTCTCAGGCTATCAGCCATGGTGCTTGCTTTTA